CTTCCCTCTAGAGTTCCAGCCAGCCAGGAGAGTGGACGCCTGGTGCCCGCGCGGCTCTTCCAGGGGCTCAAGCCCGACGGGAGGACAATGGCGGCAGGCGCGCCGCTACTCTAGAAGTCCAGCCAGCCAGGAAGCAGCACAGAGGAGAAGTCAGTGCGCTCAGCCCCTCTGGGGCTAGTTGGCGCGAGGGGACCTGGCGTGCAGGTATTTGGCGCGCAGGGTCTTTCTATGCCCCGAGCGGAGGTTTTTCCCTGAGCGGAGGTTTTTCTGTTTCGGACTCTCTTTTTCCCCTCTCACTCCCCGCAGAGGGGGATCGCCTCCGACTCTGGAGTCTCCGATTCCCGCCCGATTTTATCTTCCCCAGTTCGCACTCACGTTAGAAGGTCTTCTCAGTGGATTCTGCGTCCTTTTTCTCCCAATCTCTCGGGTTTTGTAAGGTTTCCAATGGCTTCAGATCTTTTCCGTGTGAGGTATGGGCGCAAGTGCAAGTACGGAGCTTCCTACTTCTCCGCCATCTTGCTGGAATCCTCTTTTTAATTTTGTTAATGCTTATTTTTTTTTTTGAGAGTGAGAGAGACAGCATGAGCAGAGGAGTCACAGAGAGAGGGAGGGAGACACAGAATCTGAAGCAGACTCTAGGCTCTAAGCTGTCAGCACAGAGCCCAATAAGGGGCTCGAACCTATGAACCGTGAGATTATGACCTGAGCTGAAGTCAGACATTTTGGACATTTAACCAACTGAGCCATCCAGGTGCCCCTGTTCAGAAATTTTTATATGAAAACTCTGAACTGGTAAAAACGTATATATTGGAGAATTTTATGGTAAAGAAAGGAGGCATTATTTATTTTCAAATAACCAAAACAAATGGCTAAGATCATGTATCGCAACTAAGAAAAAGGGCTGTTATCATTAGCACATTTCATGCATCTTGGTACTATTAAGTATTAAAAGCCATTAATGAGTATGAATAAACAATCTTCTGCACCTTATTTCTATAATTTGGTTGACAAGAACCTTTTTCATTAAAAACAAAACAAGGAACAAGGATTAGTCCTGCATTACCCAAATAATCATGAATCACAGAACCCAAGGTACAGCTTTATAAGGTTTACTAATCACAGAATTTTCAGCTGGTAGGATTCCTACAGATTTATCTAATCCAACCTCCTCATCTTACAGATGAGGAAACTGAGGCCTAGAAAACTAAAGGCTCTTATTCCCATATAATAAGGCCAACCAGTAAGCAGATGTTAACTCTGCTGCATCCACTTATTAGAGAGGTTCCCAGTATAAATAAATCAACCTCTCCCAAGGTTAATTATCCTTGCGCTACCCAGTCTATCCAAGCCCTCCTGGAAAAGATGCTTACAACTAGTTGATTTTGATTATAGAACAAACAAGCCTCTTTCGAAATACACTTTGTTTTGTTTTCTATTTAACAAGCACAAAAAATGTCCCTACTACCTGCATTAAACAGGTAACTGAGGGAGAAATGAGAAGACCACTGGGTTTAATGTAAAAAAGTCAACATGAAATCCTTGTGCAGATATTGAATGATGCTGCCTAAGAGTGAAATGTAAGCAGAGCCTTGAATCACCTACTAATAATTTCTCTGCACTGCTCAAGAGGCATACACATGCCAGGCATACTGGTATGATAGGAAAGGACTTTCAGGTAAGTCCATATTTATCTTCTCAGAAAGAAAAAGGGATTAAGGAGGGTCATTTCTCTGGCACATTAAAAAAAAAAAAAAAAAAAGAGTCCTGAATCAAAAAGATTTGAAACACTAAGTAGATAATTTTCTAGTTTGCTAATAAGACCAATAGACCAATATGGAAAAGTGGAGGGAGGTGGAAGGAATCTATAAAACCAATTAAAAAGAGCTTGTCAAGCTTTTACTATTATATATATATTACAGCCTTTAACTCTTCTGACAAGTTTGGAAAATAGGCCTTATTATGTCTCTACTTAAGAAGAAACAGAAATAGGTAGGAAGCATTACAGAATTCTGAGCAGAGAAGAGACAGGCCAGATTTGAATTTTTAAAAAGAAGAGGAAGAAGGCAAATAAGAGTGCCTGTTTAGAGTGGGAGTTAGGCCTAAACAAGCTCCTAAATCTCCATCACAAAGATTCTGTCTCTTGACATATCTATTTAAGACTCATTATGTCTGACGTGATATGGACAAGGTTCCCTAGCTACTAAGTGGTGAAGCTGGAGTTCAAACCCAAGGTCCCATTCTCCCACTCCTGCTTTACACCACATGGCCTTCCAGACGGTCAGTGTCAGGGAGAGGAAACTGTCCCTCCATGTCCGCCTAGAAGCCCTCCTAGTTCTCAATCCCATGATTATAAAAAGAATTGACACAAAACAGAAGTTACAGCTCCTGAATAGGAAAAACTGCTACAGGTAATAATTTTTTATATCATCATTCTTTTCTAATGAAACACAAATATCAGCCAATAACAAATGAGCATATCCTTTATGGTGAGCAGTACCAGGCAATAGTGTTACACTGAATTTAACCTGCTCCTCCTGTAACTTCTAGGTCACCTCAATGCTGGTGAGGCAGGCATGTTTCAGAAACTTCATGTGAGAGTTAAACCAAAGCCTAAAATAGACTGAGAGAAGGAAAAGTTTTGGGGTTCAGCTACAACATAAACTGGAATCCTCTGGACATTTCAGGCTAGGGTAGGTCTGTCACAGAGTACAGGTTCTGCAGCAACTTCAGCCTGTAGGTAATCTGAGCAAGGACATTCTCCTCTCTTCTGCAGATTTAGTCACCTCATTTCTTAACCAAGATAATCACTCGGAGGTGCTCCATTCACAATCCCCCCACTTATACTAAGGTAACTTTCCATGATCTCATCTACCTGGGACACTGCCAGGAATCACAAAGTAAGCAAGAGAGGCTGGTGGAAGGCCAAAATAAACACCCTACTGTTTATTCAGTTCAACCCAGGAAGAATTTATTGAGAGTGCACTATTTTTCAGGCACTGCAGCCTGATGCTGATAATGTTAGGGATGATGATAAGAATAATAAATACAGCAGTAGACACCATATACTGAATGCCTACCATGTCCCAAGGCACTGCTCTAAACACTTAAATCCATTTAATCCTCCCAACAACCCTATAAGGTACCTCCTATTATCATTTATATTTTTGTAATAACCAAATTGAGGCATGGGGTGGTTAAATAACTTGCCCAGAGGGGCGCCTGGGTGGCTTAGTCGGTTAAGCGTCCGACTTTCGCTTAGGTCATGATCCTGTGGTTTGTGGGTTCGAGCCCCGCGTCGGGCTCTGTGCTAACTGCCAGCTCAGAGCCTGGAGCCTGTTTCAGTCTGTGACTCCCTCTCTCTTTGACCCTCCCCTGCTCACACTGTCTCTCTCTCTCCTAGAAATAAATAAAAATATTAAAAAAATAATAATAACTTGCCGAGTCACAGCTAAAAAATGATGGATGCAAACCAGATAGTCTGGCTTCTGAGTCTATACCACTAGACATTATTCTTAGAAGAGCACATGAACTTTAGAGGAACAGATAGGGTTTAGGGTTTAGGGAAGGCTCCCAGCAATTGAGCCCTTTCAAAGGAATTTAGGTAGGTACTAACCAGAGAGAGGGAGGGGTGTGGGGTGCATTCCAGGGGAGAGAGTAGCTCATTGTAGGTAGAGGCTCGGCATTCATTGAGACAAGGACCACTGAAAGAGGAGTAGGTCTCCGATACAGTCAAGGAGACATACACATCTAAGTCTCAGGCACCCGTCTCAAATGAAACACATCTAACAAAGAAATCTAACTTCTTTCTTTAAATATTGTTAAAAATATTAAGGTTTTGATCTGTCTTTCCAATCAATGGATGATTAGAAGCTGAAAATTCAGGGGAAATGGTTTGTGCCAAGGTAACAAGAAGGTTGACAGAAGAACGGAGAAGATGGGAAAAACTAATGAAAAGAGATACCTTGGGAATACAAGGAATATAGCAAAGAACCCTTCCCACCTCAATAGAGTAATCATAGCACACTGCAAGAAGAGGTTACAAGATTAACTTAATCATCAAGAAAAGGTTAACATGTGTTAGCTCTATAAGCTCTGTTTTAATAAATGGGGACATAGGATGTGGATTTTAGAAAGGCACTAATAAAAATAGTTCAAACGGTGCTGGGTGGCTCAGTTGGTTAAGCGTCCGACTTTAGCTCAGGTCATGATCTCACAGTTCGTGGGTTCAAGCTCCATGTCGGGCTCTGTGCTGACAGCTAGCTCAAAGCCCGGAGCCTGTTTCAGATTCTGTATCTCCCTCTCTCTCTGACCCTCCCTGGTTCATGCTGTCTCTCTCTCTCTCAGAAATAAATAAAACATTAAAAAAAATAGTTCAAGGGACTCCTGGGTGGCTTAGTCAGTTAAGTGTCCGACTTTCGCTTAGGTCATGATCTTGCGGTTCGTGGGTTCGAGCCCCGCGTTGGGCTCTGTGCTGACTGCCAGCTCAGAGCCTGGAGCCTATTTCAGAGTCTGTGTCTCCCTCTCTCTCTGACCCTCCCCTGCTCATGCTGTCTCTCTCTCTCTCTCTCTCCTAGAAATAAAAAAAAAATTTAAAAAATAGTTCAAATAAAAAGTTGTGTTGCATGAGCCTCTATGATTTAGAAAATGCACTTAATGTGGAGAAAACCTCATTCACCAACATGCTAGATAAAACTCCAACAGAGTCCATGTCTCTTTTCAGAGGAGACACACTTCAGTGAGCTACACAGGCTTACACCAAGATAAGCCTTCCTCCCTCAAAGCCAGCATGCCATGCTCCCTTTTGTCCCCTTTCAGAAGACCTAACTGCTCCATGATTGCTAGAGATCTTAATGGTTGATTTTGTTCAAAGTGACATTAAGCTGGCTCTCATTTTAAGGTCGTATACTTCTCCCCTGGCAATTACTTCAAAAATTCTGACAGAAAAAAAAAGAAAAGCATTGCCAGGCACAGAATTAATCAGTGTAAAATAAATTCCTTACCTGTCCCTTATTATGACTTCACCGCAGGACTGGCAATATAATGTGCAACATTCTTGGGCTTGTGAGCTTTGATTAAACATGGAAATCACTTCTAAAGAAAAATCAATGAAATAGCAAATCTTAGAAGCTTGGGACAAATATATTAACATACTTAAAGAGTTTAACAGCCACATAAATTATGATCAATAAACACTGTTTACAATCTACCAAGAAGTACACATTTAATTAGCATTATCTGATGACTCAACCAGAAGCAAATATTGTGAAGCGTTCTCAAAAACAAGATTTTGCTGGGGCACCTGGGTGGCTCAGTCGGTTAAGCGTCCGATTCTTGATGTCAGCTCAGGTCATGTCTACACTGACAATGTGAAGCCTGCTTGGAGTTCTCTCTCTCCCTCGCTCTCTCTCTCTCTCTCTACCCCTACCCCCTCATGCACTCTCTCTCTTAAAATAAATAAAACTTTAAAAAATAAGATTTTGCTAAGTATCTCAGAGCTAGCTATCACCCTAGATTATCCATGTAAGATACCATTGAGCTATTTCACTCATTCCATAAATACCAACATTAAGGATGAGAGAAAAGTAGCAATTTCTCTCACATCAAACTAACTACAAGGAGCTTCACCATTCTCAGCTTCCCTCTGCTAGGTTGTAGGTACAGTTTTTCATCAGCGTGACTGGTGGTTCTTTCTATTAAATTAAGTTTAATTTAATTTAAACGAGGTCTATGTCCACTCTGGCTTATTACCAAAGCATACAAACAAAAAGAATCTTGACACTGGTCTCTACTGGGGCGCAGGGATGGCTCAGTCAGCTAAGCGTCCGACTTTGGCTCAGGTCATAATCCTGCGGTTCGTGGGTTTGAGCCCCGCATCGATCTCTATGCGGATAGCCAGTTTGAACAGAGCCTGGAGCCTGTTTTAGATTCTGTGTCTCCCTCTCTCTCTGACCCTCCCCTGCTCACACTCTCTCTCTCTCTCTCTCAGAAAAAAAAAAAAAAAAAAAAAAAAAACATTAAAAAAGAAAAGAAAAAGAAACTGGTCTCATGGAATGGCTCTTAAGAAGAATTCAATCTTCCAAGAACAAAACTCAGTTCTGGTTAAAGCTATGGAAAAATGTCATTTCCCACATTATGTGAAGAACAGAATTCTCATGGTTTCCATTATTTTATTCATGAAGAAAGGAAACTTTCATTTCCAAAACCAAAAACCAAAAACCCACGCACAAAAATACTTGTGTATAAGGGCGCCTGGGTGGCTTAGTCGGTTAAGCGTCAGACTTTCGCTTAGGTCATGATCTCGCGGTTCGTGGGTTCGAGCCACGCGTCGGGCTCTGTGCTGACTGCCAGCTCAGAGCCTGGAGCCTGTTTCAGAGTTTGTCACTCCCTCTCTCTCTGACCCTCCCCTGCTCATGCTGTCTCTCTCTCTCCTAGAAATAAATTTAAAAAACCATTAAAAAAAATACCTGTGTATAAAAAAATTTTTTTAAAGAAATGGGTCATGCTCATTACAAGCAAACAATCTGAACTTGGCTTATTTTACTTTGTAGGTATGTTAAGATTTTAAAAACTGATGCTACAAACTTGAAGCCCTGGCAATTAAAAAGTCATCCTTTTCATTTCTAGCGGTGTCCACCAATCCCTGTAGCACTAAACAGTATTCTTTAATTTTGAGCAGATAATAAGTAGACCTGGGTAAGTCATCCAAAATACTCTTTTTAGAACCAATAAAGAAATTTTCAGTGAAACACTCCCCCCTGCTGGTCACCCAGCAGGATCCACTGGCTCAGGTTCAAGTCAGAACTTCCTGACATCCTGGCATCTTGGGAGAGCACTGCCACCTGGGGTTGGATCTAATGCTTGTGCTGTATCAGATATTACTGTAGCCAGTTCCCTGTCAAGGGTCGTGATCTGACTTATGTTCTGTTCAGAATAGCATATGTTTACTACAGTCCTTAATAGAACGTCTATAGTTGAAAAGTCAACTTTTTAAAAACCTCGAAACACAACTAAATGCTAACAATGTCAAAAGTCACTTCCTACACTACATTTTGACTCAAGTTAACATTGGAGTGTATCTATCTGATATTTATTCATCCAGCAAATATTTATTTACCACCTATTATGTGGAAAGCACCAAAGCTATTAAGTACTGAGATCTATTTTGCATATACCCTTTTGTACACTACAGAACAGGTCTTTGAAAGTCTTCCTTTTCAGATATTTTGAGTAAAATGTTTTAAAAATGTAAAAGAACATGGGGCGCCTGGGTGGCTTAGTCGGTTAAGCGTCCGACTTTCGCTTGGGTCATGATCTCGCGGTTCGTGGGTTCAAGCCCCGCGTCGGGCTCTGTGCTGACTGCCGGCTCAGAGCCTGAAGCCTGTTTCAGTCTGTGACTCCCTCTCTCTCTGACCCTCCCCTGCTCACGCTGTCTCTCTCTCTCTCCTAGAAATAAATAAAACATAAAAAAAAAAAATTAAAAATGTAAAAGAACAGGAGACCAATGGAATGCAAACAATATGCAAATCAACATACAGCAATTTATTCAGTCCTACAGCTAAAATGAAACAACAATGCTTGCTGATTCAAATTTTTTTATTAGTTCAAGTTTTGCTATTTATCAACTGTTACAGAACATGGATAGGCAACAGACTAACTACGTCTCTAGAAAGCCTCCCTATCTCTCCAGTGTGGGACCTAAAATCACAAATCCAGAAGATGTGAAAATACTCCAGTGTGACCATCATGCCTGCCTTTTCGCAGTTTCCATTATTAGTCTATATCTCATCTTGGTGACCCCATTCTTCTTTCCATGGTTATTACAACAGTCGTTCTTAGCACTTGGATATGTCACTTAAGCTCCAAGACATTTCATTTCCCTACCCCTTATTCCTAAAACCAACTCTGCCCAACTCAGACTAGTTATTCACTAATCGTGGACTTGAGCAAAATTACTCTCCAACGAAAGAGTAGCATAAGACTCAGGGGAATGCTCCATATCACCTACATGGCTCTTCAAAACAATCCTGCTGACCCCACCTCTAGGGTCCATGCTGCTGAGAGAGAGAGAGAGAGAGAGAGAGAGAGAGAGAGAGAATCCCAAGCTGGTTCCACACTGTCAGCACAGAGCCTGATGCCATGCTTGAACTCATGTTGAACTGTGAGACCATGATCTGAGCTGACATCAAGAGTCAGGCACTTAATAGACTGACCACCCAGGCACTCTTCCCTTTTTTACATCATTTTTAATCCTTTAAAGCATCTTACTTACATGATAAGAGATTTAATGAGGCAATAATTTTATTCAATAAGTTATTCTGAGAAACATTTCTACATCTGACTGAATCATTGTGACAATAAAAAATATTAGAAACATAAAAGGCATAGCAATAATCAAAATCAAATTATGCATCAAACTCAATTTTAGAATCTGCAGAAGTGCTCTATTTGGAAATGTCTCTATGTGGATAAGACCACTTCCATCATTCCATCCTCTGGTGGAGCATCACCTCCTCGGAGTGGCCTTCCCTGACAACCTTTTACCCTAGACATTCCCTGTCCCATTATTCTGCTCTACTTTGACCAGAGCAGTTTTCTCTTTATCCAAGTAACTTATTTGTTCATTATCAGTTCCCATCCATGAGAATGTAAGGCCCCTAAGGGCAGAGACCTCCTGAGCATGGTCACTTCTGTATCCGCAGCACCTAGATCAAAGCCTAGCACGTAGCATAAGACAATGTTTGTTGGGTGGATGAGTACCTACGTAATGCTTGAAAATCAACCAGGTCTTGCACAGTTGCCCTCTCATTTAATCATCCTATCAACTTGCTGAGGAGGTAATTTTACAATTAAAGAAACAAGGCAGAGGTTACATGGGAAATTTCTGTACCTTCTGTCATTTTTTCTGTGAACCCAAAACTATTCTAAAAAATAAAATCTATTAGGAGGAAAAAACCCCACTAACCTCCACACACACACTCCCCCAAACAAAACTTCAGAAAGGTTAAGTGGCATGTTCAACTGCACAGCTAATAAGTGGCAGGGCTAACAAAGAAACTTCTGACCATCAGCTCTTTCCATGCTCCTGCTGAACAGTCTTTTCCACCTGGGAAAAGGTCAAATTTTCAAAAGTAAAATCACCTTTGATTTACAATGAAAAACCAAATGCTAAAATAGGAGTGCTGGTGTCACTTACTGGCGTTGGAGTCTGCCCACACCTGCAGCCGCAGGTGCAGCCCATCTCCAGCCTCGTACTGCAGCCCGCGGCAAGAGGAAGGTACAAGCCTGACCTCTGCTGGAAGCCGGAGCTCTGTGCAGCCTGCAGGGGTCTTCACCTGGAGTGCGGATGGCGTTATAGAAATATCCACGGGCATGCCTCCTTCTTTAGGCTCTCTGGTAATTAAAAATAAAACACACACAAAAAATTGCTTCTCACTGGTGAAAATCACAGGATAAAAGAGACAAAAATGGCCATGGATCTCTGTTCTTTCTGAAAAAAATGCTCTAAAGTCACTGTCCCCCCAAAATAGCAGTGAACAGATCATAAAGGAAACTGTCATATGCTAGATTTACATGAGGTCAGCCTGTACTTTTCACAGTCACAGTAACATCAATGTTCTGGAACATATTTTTTATTCCTTTTTTATGGTAATGATGCATTTTTAAATGTGCACTTTTCCCCATTGCTAATAATGATCCTGAATCTCAATTCTCCTCTATTCTAATGTTTTCTGCAGCTACTCCACCTAGACCTTCCTGGGGTTGCTCCCAGGGCCATCCTGCATGCACAGTCCACCTTCTATCCCCTAGTACCCCCTTTTTCCTCCCACGTTTCCCCAACTGCGGGTTCTGAACTAGCACCATCTAATGCTGGCCTGTCCTACATTATGTACTTGTTCTTCAAAATATTTTTAGTAAGAGAACTCAAGGCAGCATAAGACAGAGGCTTATTCATCTATGCATCCCTTGGCCCTATCATGATTTATGCATTCATTTACTTTTTCACTCATTCATTCAATACACCTATTTTGAGTTCTATAATGTGCCAGATACTGGAAACACAACAATTAAACAGATATTTTCTCTGCCCCTCACCCCCCTATACCCCAAGTAGGACACAGGTAAGTGAACAGGAATGATCAAGGGAGTGTTAAGACATGTTACATTGTACTGGCCAGGCCAGGATGGTAGGCAGCGCTGGGAGGGGTTTGGGGGACGGCCCACCAAACTTGGGACAAGTTCCTTATGATCCGGTGCCACAAGTCAATATCTTCACTGATGCCAAGGAGTTGAACCATACACAGTCACGCTGAAGCACACCACTAAGTGCATCCTCAAGTAGCCCTCCAAGCAGCTGTACAAGGCTGACCAGCTTCTCTGTATGATGGCAAGACACTGGGGAGAGTGTGGCTTCACCAGTCTGATGGCACAGCTGCAGGCCACACCCACTGGGGGGCTGGCCTCCTGGGCAGTCGCACCCACTCCCCTGTTCACCAGATGAAGCGGTTAAGGCCCTGTGCATCAAGTCTTTCTCCAGCCTGCCTGGGCCTCCTGCTATGATGAAGCCGCAGGACTCAGGAAGCAGCACCAATAAACAAGTGGTGTAGTGAAAGGGCCCTGGGCCCCCCATTGTACCCATCCCCTCTCGTGCCCCAACCCCTCTTGTAAAAGAGATTTGGGTGTCAAAAAAAAAAAAAAAAAACCCAACTCATTGCATTGCACTTATTCCTGATAAATACTGGGTACTATGGAAGCACATGGAGAGCTGCAGTGACTGTCACAGGTCAAGCACTGTTAAGAATGGGTAAGCGAGTGAAATATTCTTGCTTCTGAGACTAGCATTACAATGAAGCTGTATTTTACTTAAAGTACTGTAATTTGATATACAGGATTTTGATAAGGAGACCAGGATTACATGAAATGAAAGATACAGGAGAAAAAAACTTGTCAATTAAAATTTTTTTTAATTAATAAAGAAAACAGGGGCACCTGGGTGGCTCATTTGGTTAAGTGTTGGAATTCAGCTCAGGTCATGATCTCAGTGCTTCTGAGTTCCAGCCCTGTGTCGGCTCAGCACTGACAGCTCAGAGCCTAGAGTCTGCTTTGGATTCTGAGTCTCCCTCTCTCTCTGTTCCTCCCCTGCTCACACTCTGTCTCTCTCTCACTCTCAAAAATAAATAAAGATTAAAAAACTTTTAAAATAAAGAAAACAATCTAGTGATGTATGAAAAACATACATCCTAATCCAATTCACTACAAACACAAATCACTGGGTGTAGGCAATCAGGAGTAAAACACAGTACATTCCCTGTCCACCAGGCACCAAAAGAATGGCAGTGGATGAAAACATATAGAAAGTATCCTCATATGAAGCTTAAAATATGCTTAACATTGTAACAGAGGTGCCAAGAACTTTGACTGCCCCTTAAGTGCAGACAGAAGGGGCAGGCCATCTACTTGAGTGTTATCTAAGTACAGAGATCATATCATGTGTTCAGGTAGGAATCTTGATTAGGCCTCTTAAAAAAATCTTAAGACTACTTTCTGGCTAGTTCCTCTTCCAAGCATATGGATATGCACTTATTTAGCAATAAAGAATATCAAGACCCTGAGTCTTTTCCAGGGAATACATCCTCAAATTCCAGTCAAAAGTCTAGTTTCTTAAAGGGGATACCTGGTTGGCTCAGTCAGTTAAGCATCTGACATGGGCTCAGGTTATGATCTTACGGATAGTGGTTCAAGCCCAGCATTGGGCTCTGTGCTGACAACTCGGAGCCTGGAGCCTGGTTCGGATTCTGTATCTCCCTCTTTCTCTGCCCCTCCTCTGCTCATGTTCTTTCTCTCTCCCTCTCAAAGATAGATAACCTTTAAAAAAAATTCTTTTTAAGTCTAGTTTTAAGAACTGATGTTTAAGAAATAATAATCCTCGGGGCGCCTGGGTGGCTTAGTCGGTTAAGCGTCCGACTTTCGCTTAGGTCATGATCTCGCGGTTCGTGGGTTCAGGCCCCACGTCGGGCTCTGTGCTGACTGCCAGTTCAGAGCCTGGAGCCTGTTTCAGTCTGTGACTCCCTCTCTTTCTGACCCTCCCCTGCTCACACTGTCTCTCTCTCTCTCCTAGAAATAAATAAAACATTTAAAAAAAAATTAAAAAAAAAAAAAAAAGAAATAATAATCCTCTAGGGGCACCTGGGTGGCTCAGTCGGTTGAGTGTCCAACTTTTTTTGATTTTAGCCCCGGTCATGCTCATGAGCTCACAATTCATGGGATCAAGTCCCTCCTCAGGCTCTGCAATGAGTGTGGAACCTGCTTAAGATTCTCTGTCTCTCTCCCTCTGCCCCTGTGCCTCTCTCCCCCATATCCCCTAGTGCTCACTCTAAATAAATAATTTTTAAAAAAAGTTTTTAAAAAGAAAGAATAATCCTCAAAAGCAGAGGTTAAAAGGGCCAGATGGTATGTCAGGTTTTGCAGGCCACATATGGTCTCTATTGAATATTATGCTTTTATTTTATTTTTAGCAATGCTTTAAACGATATAAAATCCATTCTTAGCTAAGTTGTACCAAAACAAGCCATAGTTAGATTTGGCGCATGGGCCATTGTTTGCTGACACTGCTCTAAAGATACACAATTTGTCCATTTTGCTACTTCAGCAATTTTCAATCTGAACTGGCACTTGGAAGTGCCTCAAGGGATATCACTGGGTTTCTAAGCCTCACCCCCATCCCATCTCTGGCTTATCACTCCTCTGCCCCTTCCTGAAAAATTCAGCCAATTACAGAGAGCTGGGTAAGGTAGGAGGCATCTATGTGAGGCATCTATGTAAGTGTCAGAAAAGCAGAGTGGCCTGGGATGGATGTGAGAAACCCAGCAGAGGGAGGAAGGAGGAAGGCAGCCACTACATGGGGATGTCAGATCTCAAGAGTGATGAGGAGAAATCAAGGTTGGGGGTAAGGGTGGCTGTTACAGGGTACAGGGCTTCAGAGCCTGCCTTAGACTCTTCATGTTGCTGTAATAAAATACCATAGACTGGGTAGTTTAATTTTTTTTATGTTTTTTTTTTTTTTTTAATTTTTGAGAGCATGAGCAGAGCATGAGCAGGGGAAGGGCAGAGAAAGAGGGAGACACGGAATGCACAGAATCTGATGCAGGGCTTGAACCCACGAACCATGAGATCATGATCTGGGCCGAAGTCGGACACTTAACTGACTGAGCCACCCAGGCACCCCTAGACTGGGTAGTTTAAACAACACACATTTCTTACAGCTCTAACGGCTAGAGAGTAAAAGATCAAGGTGTCAGCAGATTTGGTTCTTGTTGTAGGCCCTCTACCTGGCTCGCAGGTAGCTGCCTCCTCATTGGATTCTCATACGACACAGAGCATCTCTGATGTCTCTTCTTATAAGGGGACTAATCCCATCATAGTGGCTCTATCCTCATGGCCTCATCTAAATCTAATTACCTCCCAAAGTTTCTATCTCCTAATACTACCATATTGGGCATTAGGGCTCCAACATAGGAATTTTAAGGGGACACACACAAATTCATTCCATAGCAGAGCACAAGCAGACACCAGGAAGGTGTCAACACTGAGTGCGGGGATAGGAAGCATCAAAGGATGGCTGCAGAAGATAAGTTACATAGAGGGGAATTCACCAAATAAATGTATGTCACGAGAATAATGAAAGCCAGTATTCTCACTGCGGGAGAATAGAGTAACAAAGAGGGAAAGGGAAAAAGCCAGAATGGATCCTACCACTGTAGAATAGAATTAGAAATACCTGTGTGGAGTCATGGTTTTCAATGTATATAAATATATACAGTAATACAGATGTATATGTGTGTAGACGTATGTATAATATACAAACACACAAGCATACACATACAGCCATGCATACATAAACATCATGTATACGTCACATACACACTCTGATTTTGTGCACTAGGGCCTGGGAAGAGTGACACGTCAATAGCAGTGAGAATATTCTGTGCTCAGATTTTGGTTTCAAAAGGTCATTTTCCACTTACGAAACAGCATTCCCTGTGAAAATAATTACATCCAGGGCTGGAACAGGAAAAGAATGAGGTGAGCCTGGAACAAGTTGCTGTGCAAAGGAAAAAGTCAAAGACTAATAGAAGCACATTAAAAGGACACAGAAATCCACCTGAAGGGACTCCCCTTGGCCACATCTGGTATAACTGGAGCAAAAAAAAGTAACCCAATGAATAAAAGAAGACCGTGGTTCTATACTGATGTAAATAAATGAATGAATGAATGACAAGAAGGTCTGAGGAGGAACAAGGGCATTTACATAGATAGTCTCAAAGGACCTCTCCAAATAATACATACTGATTACAAAGAGAAAAAGAGTCTTGCCAGACTGAATCCGCAAGAGG